TTATACATTGAATTTTGCCTTGAAATCATTCATAAATATTTGATTTCCATTATCCAGGCAGAGGCCACAAGGGGGCACCAGAGAGAAATGATAGTCCATTTTACAGGGGTGAAAGATGGGTTGAAGGAGGAAATCCACATTCCCCTTTTTCCTGTTATTCCCCCCACCCATGTCTACATGGGTGGGGGGAAGTGGGAAGGAGGAATAACCAGCAACAATGAGAGAAATCATTTTCTTCCTTCAACCCCCTCCCCCCCCCCAAATCCAGCAAACTGGACTGTCCTCTCTCTAGTGCTCCCTTGTGGCCTCTGCCCAGATAACAGAATAATACCTTTGGGGTTTTGTTTTTTTTTTCAAACCACTTGACAGGGTATACTCTTCTTTTTTTTATGGAATCTTATTCTAGATGTCTTTTATTAAAGATGGAGTTGAGATTAAAGCTCTTGATCAAGACTGCACAATCTGTGGCCCTCCAAGTATTTTAGACTTCTGCTCCCAGACTTCATTACCATTATACAAACTGGTTAGGGCTTCTGAGAGTTATGAGTCTCAAACACCTGGAGGGCCACAGGTTATGCAGGCCTCCTTTAGACTGTAATGGCGGTGAAGATGATGAGCATCATGTGATTATCATATGGGCATGATGAGTATGAGCATGAAGGCTAGAAATTTTTCTATAGAGTCAGCCAGTGTATTATGCAAAAGATTCATTCCTGGACCTTTCACATAATTTAATTTTCACACAATATCTGCTACCTTTCCGCTTGGTCATCATGCCACTGAAAGCAGAAAATACTGTGCTATACATAATCAAAAAACACACACCCCAACTCATCTGCTCTCCAAGAGAGAGAAGAATAGCTGAAGTGGAGACTCACAAGTTGGCGTGCAATATGCCCATGTTGAGCTCCTGAAAGCAGCCCCCTCCCCAGGTGTCAAATATGGCATGAAGCACAGTCTGCTATGAAACCCTTTTCTTCCTCTATGGAGAAAAACAACAGAAGTCATGCTATTGTCGAAGGCTTTCATGGCCGGAATCACTGGGTTATTGTAGGTTTTTCCGGGCTATATGGTCATGTTCTAGAGGCATTCTAGACATGGCCATATAGCCCGGAAAAACCTACAACAACCCAGAAGTCATGCTGCATTTCTGTCCCCTGGAAAAGTAGCCTCTCCTTTCTTTCTGGTGACCAGATCTCCAGTGTATATTTATTTATTTCTCCAGAGAAAGAAACCTGCCTGCTTTCTTTCCTGTTCCTCGTTTCCTCCCCCTTCTCCATTTTCTCTGATAAACATATGCAGATGCAGTCTAAGGACCCTGCTGTTGAAGACCACACATAGGCAGAGATGTGAAGGACAAATGTTGTTATCATCTCCACTGATGTGAATGCAATTGTTAATTCATATGGGGAAAAATAAAAGGATTTCTGAAAAGGATTAAATCTGCTCAATGGTTCCGATGATCCTATTGACCTCTGCCACTGAAAATTAACCATGGTCCTTTACACCGAACTTCCTACATAGCAAAACCTATATGTTATTCTCAAACTGGTAGTAGTAAGACGCAACTGGCTGGCTGGAAAACACTGTGTGTGTAACGATATATTTATGTTTATATGTGTGTATATGTTTGTATGCATATCTATCTAACAATCTATCTCAACAGATTCATATGGTGGAACCCATCACAGTCAGAGCCTAAGACTACATGTAGTATTCCTTGATAGATTGCTCAGCAGAAATGCAACTTAAGTGTACATATGAGTGAAGCAGATTCTGAGGGAGAGGAAATGTGCTTTCAGTTATCTCCTGCTATGGGTGATTAGCTGAAAGTACCAATCTGTTCTCCAGAGGGCAGATCAATATATACTATTTCACTATGGTCAGTATTGATTTTAATTTTCAGGGTGTGCACATATATAGTTGTAAATATGGATGTTTTCATATCAGAGCTCTTGCTGAGAAAATATGGAGTTCTATATACATGTACTTTGCTACTGCCTCCCAGACACGCAGTGCTTCACCATATAACTTGAAATCTATATCGTTGCAAAGTATTCTGTTTTTTGAATTTCTAATAGGATATCTGATTTATTCATTTGTTTTGCTCTTTTGTAAAAGTATGGCTGTCTTCCTTTTTTGCATTTGAAAGGCATTGGTTTAACAATAATTCACTCATGAGGGATGAAAAGCATTATTGGAGTTAATTTTGCACAAGAAATATTTGGGCAGGACCTATGGTCTAGTGAAATAGCAAGAAAAAAATGATTCAATCACACAATTGAAGGTCATAAATGTGCTAATTTAGCAATACCTGATTGGATGAAAGAACATATTCATTGGTTCTGGGGCAACTTCAAAATGTTTTCTTAGCCAGAGAGTAAGTAGTGTATGAGTATGCAAAATTAGTGCTTAATGTACAGTGCCCTCTGCTGGCCACTCACATCATTGGTTCAACTTTTAAAGGAAACCTATGTTTTTTCTGTGTGTATGTCTCCAAATTGTCCATTGAATTATGGTGACCCCAAAAATTTCATAGGATTTTCTCAGGCAAGAAATACTTAGAGGTGGCTTTGCCTGTTCCTTCAACTGAAATACAGCATACAGAATCTGGTATTCATTGGAAGTCTCCCATCCAAGTATTAACCAGGTTCGGGTAGGAACTGGTTTCTTAGAGGTATTTAGACCCCCTTTTCTCCTTCTTAAAACATATTATAAGTATCCTAAAGTGCAACAATAAACTTATTTTGTCTATCAAATTTTCACCATATGAATAGGGCTAATGGCATTGGCAATCTGTACAACTACAATACAGTTCCAAAAGCCCTTTCAGCTATGTCTAAGTTATCTTCCTTTTTCTTTCATTCATTAACTACAGTAAGCAATAGTCACTGGGGTCCTTTCTAACTTCATAATTATGCCCCTATGATTCCACCTTAGCGTCCATGTTTCCATTCCTTGGGTACATCTGGGATCTGCACTTTTGGGAGATGCACTAAAAATCGCAATCAGAGACCTTTGGTGCCAGTCTACTATTCCAGAATTACATAAAATGCAGCCATGGTCACTGAAGTGTAATCACAATGTTGTAACTGTATAGTATTAGACTTTGCCATGCTGACCCTTAGGTCTCCACCCTGACAACCCTGAGCTGCTAGGATTCCCATTTGTTGTCACATTTTACATGGTTTTGGCTCAACCTATGGGGAGCTTGGTATCATGTGTGGGAGAATCTACTCAGGATTTAATCTATATTCCCTTCCTGTTTTGTCATATGCCTTCACGTGCATAATATATGATGTCTGTTCTTGTCATTGAGTGTTTACAACTGATTTTCAATCTGCGGCAACCATAAAGCAAACCTATCATCGGGTTCTTGACAAGATTTCAGAAGGGGTTTGCCTTTGCCTTCTTTTGAGGCTGGGAGAATATGAATGGCAGTTTAACCCGCTGTGCCACCATGGCCCCTATTTATTCCAGATTTTCAGATCCAATCCAAGTTGAACTGGGAAATTCATAGTTGGGGGTACAATCTAGTGAGCCACTGAATCTGCAAGAACAAAAAGGGTAATTGCAGTCCTCTTGATTGCCTGACAATTATGGCGCTTACTTATTGGCTTCGTCTGTTACAAACAGTGCCTTTGCCTATTTAAGGGAGCTATGCATTCTGTCTGTTGTACTCCATGTTTATTGGACTAGTCCTGAAATAAGCATGTTATCAGCTACCTAGAATGTAAAAGTATGGCATGAAGCCTCAAAGCACAACCAGGCTAACAGGTGAATGACTTAAAACATGATGTTGAATTATTCTATGAAGAATTCTTCTTATTGACTTTGTCATGTAAACCCTTATGTTTAATCTGACCTTATCTAAGCAGTTTCTCGCGTTATGCAAACAAAATGGGAATGAATATAGAACAGAGGCATATGAGAAAGGCAATGAATGTTGAAATACAACTATTAGTCTGAGTGAGATGGACATACATACATGCCCTCACTCCCCTTTCACCTCTGAAGATACAAATCAGAAGCTACACAATATTATGGGTGGAATATCATAACAATAGCTATAACTCCTCCAGCAAAAAACAGGACCAAGAGAAGAGTGAGGGAGTGCCACTTGGCATACTTGTAGATGCCTCTTGAAGAGCACTGGGTTGAACTTAGAATGAGGTCTTACAGAGTGACCTTGGCCTGAAGCCCTAATGAGGGACAAGGGAATAAATTGATAGTAAACAGTGCAAAATCAACTAGACAATTCAGCTTAAGCATTTGCCAATAAAAGTAGACTACATAATCAGGAGACAATGGAATCTTTCTTCAAATGTTCCCCAAAGGGAAGTAAATTCTGTTTTTAAAACCCTATTATATTCTTTAATTCAAAATGGGCAAATCTATAGCTGCCTTACTCTACATCCCAATGTGCTAATATGAGGTGCATCTAGACCAGAGGTTCTCAACCTTTGAGTCCCCAGATATTTTGACCTTCAACTCCCAAAAATCCTAACAGCTGGTAAACGGGCTGGGATTTGTGGGAATTGTAGGCCAAAACACCTGGGGACCCACAGGTTGAGAACCATTGATCTACACAGTAGAATTATTTCAAGTTTGACACCACTTTAGCTGCCTTGGCTCAATCCTATGGAATTATGGGAGCTAGCATTTTACAAGGTTTTCACTGCCCAATAACGTTGGCACTTTACCAAAATATAAATCTAAGTATTAGATAGATAAAGTGGTGTCAGGCGCACTATTTCAACTGTGTAGATACACTCATGGTAAACAAAGTAGTAATCCCTAAAATATTATCATTTTTTTCTTTTCAAATAGACATATTGAATTCAATGGGATTTACTTCTCAGTGGATATGTGCAAATTGTACCAGAAAACCCAGCTGAGTTTGAAAAATACTGTTGTTGCGTTGAATGACGTAAGATTTGACTGCATAGACAAATTTTTCAAAATAGGTTTTCAGAAAAAACATGCATCTTTTTTCTTACCCTGTGACCTTTTTCACCAGGAAGACCTGGAAGTCCATCAAAACCTCTGTCACCCTAGTAGGAGGAAAGAAATAATAACTTTAGCTTTCACTCTTGTACTATGCAACCATCCAGAAGTTACATAGGGTCTACTGTAAATCTATTCTTTCAATTGATACATTTGCCCTGAATTTGGCATTGCTTGAATCTTGAGTCAAAGATATATTTAAAATAATAGATTCTTTAAGAGCTGGAAAAGACTACAAGGGCCAACTAGTCCAGCCCTTGCCATGCAGGAACACTGACAGATGGCCATCCATCCTCTGTGTAAAAGCCTCCAGAGAAGGAGAATCCACCACCCTCTAAGGAGGCAGCATATGTCACTGCTGAGCAGCTTTTATGGCCAGAAAGTTCTTCCTAAGGTTTAGGTGTAATCTATTTCCATGAAAGTTGAACACATTGCTCTATATACTACTCTCCAGAACAGCAAAAATAGCTTTCTCCCTTCTCAATATATATTCTTTCAAATATTTAAATATGGCTATCATGTCTCTTATCAACCTTGTCCTTTCCAAGCTAAATGTACCCATCACCCTCAACCACTCCTCACAAAGCTTGGCTTTCAAACTTAAAGCTGATATTTGTATATCTTCTTCTGATTTTCCTATACTTATACACAGCTAATATTACTATATCTGATTCAAGTGTCCCTCACTGAAACCTCAAAGATAATGAGGTAATCTTTAAAACAGCAGATTCTGCTGCTTCTATAATTGTTGTTGTTCATTTATATTCTGCCTTTCCACTAGGCTCAGGCATGTAGACGGGGGGGGGGGGCTTGAGGGGCTTCAGCCCCCCCCCCCGAAATTCTCATGGTGGTTCGCGAGAAGGCCTTACTGGTGCATTATTTAAACTGTTATGTTTATTCATATCATGATCACCATACTCAATATGATCACCATACTCAATATATCCCATATGCATGGGGGTATTGGGGTACTCAATATGATCATGATCTGATCACCATACTCAATATATCCCATATGCATGGGGGTATTGGGGTAATGATACAAAAGGTTTGCTAGGGTAGACCCTCTTTCACTCAGACTCAGCCCCCCCCCGAAACTCAGCCCCCTGAAACCCCCCTGAAAAAAATTCAGCCCCCCCCCCCCCCCCGAAACGAAATCCTGGCTACGGGCCTGACTAGGCTTGTGCATTTCAGCTAAACCTTGATCCGTTTCTGCTGGCCAGATACCAGTAGACTCTCATATTCATTTTCACTCAACTCCTGAAAATGGGTGGGTGGCCGGTTAGCCATTTTCGGCCCATAGTCGCTAATGTGGCTAGATCCAGTTCACTAGTGGCAATGGGGAACTTATGAGGTTCCCCTTGCCATTCCTTGCATCCATTCCTTATTTCTTCAAGGAGCCTAGGTATCAGCAACAAGGTTAAGAAAGCACCCTATCCAGCCCATTATGAGGGGGACTTCCGAAAGGCGCCCCTTCCATATCCTTCATTAAGACCTGCATTAAAAGAATCAGAGTTAAAAACACTTTTTCTGTGATCTTTTCACTTCTATTTGTAGAAGAGACTGGGCTAAATGCTTTGTTAAAGCTGTTTTTTTTCTATGACAGAGGAGACAGGCTGCAGACCCACACACTCTCTCTCAAAAGCATTTAAGGAGGTTTCCCACTTTCCAGGGAATAAAGAGCGATCAACCTGGAGCTATCTCCGTGGGCTTCCTTTAAACACCCTCTTTTTACTCTACTGCAGGTCTTGTCTGGAGTGGGCACACTTTCTACTTCCTACTCTAAAAGAGAGGTGAATAGGTGGTAGTAGTTTTCAGAGAATGAGGATTTTCATTTTGTTTGCTAGGATTAATAATGATTATTGTTATTGTTGAAGGGGGGGAGGAGAAAAAGCTAAAACTTCCAAGCCCCTACCCAACTCCTAGTTAGTCCCACTAAATAAAAATTATCAAGGAAATAAAGGAAAATCAAAAAGATTAAAGTGTGGTGCTGAATAGGAGAAGAGGAGTCAAGATCGGCTGCCACATGGTCCCGTTTTGGATGGGAATCCATCACGGCTGGCCCCTTGACATTACTGGCACCCAAACAAACTGAAGGATCCAGATTGGCTGAAGGAAACGGCTAAAAATGAATTTGGGCCCAAGTCTACTGGGACTCCATGAGTCACAGAAGGGCTGCTCAGGCAGTGCACCAAAGCAATATCCAAATAGATGCCCAATGTGAATACATAGTTTCTGAAGCATTGTGGGAAAACAAGGGATCCCAGGGAGCAACTTTACACATACAGGTGACCCATTTATTTCAATTGATACGTCAGTCTTACAATGGCTCTTTCAATATGTACTTGAAAACGTAGTAGCAGCCAACACTAGAGTGTTAAGAGCAAAGGGATACCAGTGTTTTCCATAAGATTATTCCTTCAATGTGCTGCCCTGCAAAGGCAACCTTATTCAACCATATTTGTATGCCCAGGGTGATATTGGTGTCTCATTAGAAAACACCTGGAGAAAGCTCCAGCATCAAGGTATTTGAAATTTATATTTACTAACCTTGGAGCCAGGTTCCCCAGGCATTCCTCGGGCTCCATCTGCACCTGGACGACCCTAGAAAAGTTTTTAAATGGCAGTGGTTAAATACCAAATGTGAAACATTGCAGCTTAAGTTTCTAAAATTTTTATCAAGTGTCCTTTTTACCAAACACTGAGCTATCTTGAAACATTCAATACTTACTCTTTTGCCAGATTTTCCAGGGAGACCAGGTGGACCTTGTATGCCTCGAGGACCCTAGAGGAGAAAAAAGATACAGAAATGTAATTCCTCTCAAAATTTCTTCCCAAAGGAAGCAAGCACCTGTAATGGTAGTAATTTCAGCAATTCTCTTCCCAATACAAGAACTTCAGAAAGCACCATTCGCAAAGCTTATCTGCAATGCATATATTTGCAATACATATACATATTATAATTTTTTTGTAGAAAGTGCTGCTTTTTGCAGAGGACATTTCTGTTCAGTTCTTGTGGGTTTTTTCGGGCTATATGGCCATGTTCTAGAGGCATTTTCTCCTGACGTTTCGCCTGCATCTATGGCAAGCTTCCTCAGAGGTCTGCTGGAGCTGGGAAAAAGGGGTTTATATATCTGTGGAATGACCAGGGTGAGACAAAGGGCTTTTGTAAGTTGGGCTAGGTGTGAATCTTTTCAACTGACCACCTTGATTAGCATACAATGGGCTGACTGTGCCTGGAGCAAACTCTTCTTGAAAGGTAATTAGATGTCCCTGCCTGTTTTTCTCTCTGCTGTTTTAATTTTAGAATTTTTTAATACTGGTAGCCAGATTTTGTTCATTTTCATGGTTTCTTCCTTTCTGTTGAAATTGTCCACATGTTTGTGGATTTCAATGGCTTCTCTGTGTAGTCTGACATGGTGGTTGTGAGAGTGGTCCAGCATTTTTGTGTTCTCAAATAAAATGCTGTGTCCAGGTTGGTTCATCAGGTGCTCTGCTATGGCTGGTTGAAGTAGTCTGCAGTGCCTTTCATGTTCCTGGATTCTTGTTTGGGCGCTGCGTTTGGTGGTCCCTATGTAGACTTGTCCACAGCTGCATGGTATACGGTAGACTCCTGCAGAGGTGAGAGGATCCCTCTTGTCCTTTGCTGAACGTAGCATTTGTTGGATTTTCTTGGTGGGTCTGTAGATAGTTTGTATGTTGTGTTTCCTCATCAGCTTCCCTATGCGATCAGTGGTTCCCTTGATGTATGGCAAGAACACTTTTCCTCTGGGTGGATCTTCATCTTTACTCTCGTGGCTTGTTCTTGGTCTTGCAGCTCTTCTGATGTGAAAAAGAAGCACCATTAAAGCCTTGGCAGACCGTGCAAAAAGAATCTGTGAACCCCACCTCCTCCAAGATGAACTGAACCACCTCAACTGGGCTCTACAGGCCAATGGATACTCCACCTCAGACATCAGAAGAGCTGCAAGACCAAGAACAAGCCACAAGAGTAAAGATGAAGATCCACCCAGAGGAAAAGTGTTCCTGCCATACATCAAGGGAACCACTGACCGCATAGGGAAGCTGATGAGGAAACACAACATACAAACCATCTACAAACCCACCAAGAAAATCCAACAAATGCTACGTTCAGCAAAGGACAAGAGGGATCCTCTCACCTCTGCAGGAGTCTACCGTATACCATTCAGCTGTGGACAAGTCTACATAGGGACCACCAAACGCAGCGCCCAAACACGAATCAAGGAACATGAAAGGCACTGCAGACTACTTCAACCAGAGAAGTCAGCCATAGCAGAGCACCTGATGAACCAACCTGGACACAGCATATTATTGAGAACACAGAAATGCTGGACCACTCTCACAACCACCATGTCAGACTACACAGAGAAGCCATTGAAATCCACAAACATGTGGACAATTTCAACAGAAAGGAAGAAACCATGAAAATGAACAAAATCTGGCTACCAGTAATAAAAAATTCTAAAATTGCAACAGCAAAAACAGCAGAGAGAAAAACAGGCAGGGACATCTAATCACCTTTCAAGAAGAGTTTGCTCCAGGCACAGTCAGCCCATTGTATGCTAATCAAGGTAGTCAGTTGAAAGATTCACACCTAGCCCAACTTACAAAAGCCTTTTGTCTCACCCTGGTCATTCCACAGATATATAAACCCCTTTTTCCCAGCTCCAGCAGACCTCTGAGGAAGCCTGCCATAGATGCAGGCGAAACGTCAGGAGAAATGCCTCTAGAACATGGCCATATAGCCCGAAAAAACCCACAAGAACTGAGTGATTCCGGCCATGAAAGCCTTCGACAATACATTGACATTTCTGTTTCCTACACAAAACAACTGGATTCAAATTTTGCATAGAACAAACCTCAAACAATGAATATTATGATCATCAGACCAGGATCTTTTGTGTCAGGGTTTCTTAACACTTGAAAAGAATAAGGTGTTGTTGTTTTTTTGGTTTTTTTTAAAAAAAATGAATATTTTGTTCTATTTCTGATGAGCAATAAGAACATCATAAAGAAGATTAGTTATTATCTACCTCCAATTAAGGCTTTGCTATCCCTTGACGTAAGTTAAGAGGCCACTAAGGGCTTTTTAAGTAAAGTCAGCCCTCTATATTCACAGAGTTCACCATCCATGCATTCTGCCATACACATCTTAAAATATGTTTTAAAATCCAAAAAGCAAACTCTGATATTACAATTTTAAATAAGGAACACAATTTGCTACACAACTGTATATAATGTCCCTTGAGTGCTCATGAATTTTAGTACTGATGGGGGTCCTGTGACCAAACCCCAGCAGATACCAAAGTCCCTGTGTACTATCCTTGCTATATATCATTTTTTTAAAAATTAAATAAATAAATAAACAATCTGTCACATTATTCCAGAATATCTATCTATGGGATTGTGCAAACTGTACAAAATTTCAGCATTGGGAGTTCTAACCTAGGGTGAAATCATTTATGGATGAGTTCTATATGCTGATACATTGAGTGCTGTATGCTATAGTACCAAGTACTACAGAACAGGTCAGCAGAACATTGTAACAATCATAAAATGAAGAATGGATGGTAATGTTTAGCAAAGTATAACTCAAGCTAAAGTAAACTGAAGGGAACTGCATAACTTTCCTCTCTCCATGTACAATTGATACCATCATGATTCTTGTTTTTTTTCCTTTTTATTAAACAAAACTCATCCCTCTTCCTTGTATTTTTCAAATATACATATATTTTTTTTAAAAAAATGGAGACATTGCTTAACTATGTCTTTACTTATTGACTAAAGGTTTGCCTAGAGCTTTTCACACATCTAAAAGGTGAGCATTTATCTTTGTTTGACTTTGCAAACATGTCCATTTTGGGAAGAAATGTGTTTGCAGAAACCCCTAAATGTGCAGATTCCAAGAAGCAAATGGTGGATCTGTCCCAGGTCCAAGATGTGCAGAATGAATAATTCTTTTTAAAACCTCACCAAAGGAAGGGGCCTATTACAGGAGATAATAATTATATCATTTTTACCATGCAGGAATCAAAGCATTCCTGACAGACGGCCAGTCTCCACTTAAGAATTTCTAAAGAAAGAGATGCCACCACATACCAAGACAGCATATTCAACATCTGCTATTACTCTCCAGATATTTTTTCCTAATGTTTAGGTGGAATCTTTTTCCCTGTGGTTTGAATTCACTCCTCTGTGTCTCAGGGCCCACAAAGCAGGCTTGATCTGGCATCCTGGCAGTCACTGGGAGTTGCCACTGACCAGCAGCATCCAACACAGTTTGGGGACACGGAGCAGGCACCCTAAGAGGAATACCCATTCCAAGTGTTGTGGCTGGTGATAACAATGACAAAACTGCTACCTGACCCTTGGTCCCACCCTCACTACTGCCCAGTCTCCTTAGCAAGGCTGAGGTCCGACAAACAGCTGCCAGATTGTTTTGGAGAAAGTAGAATTGTGTGGTAATAGGAGAAAGGGACAGGTGACTGTCATCTCGTGTTCCTAGACTTTCTGAGCCTACAGAAAGCTGTCAAGACAGCTGTGCCCAGTTCTGTTTAGGAACCTGCCTGGCTGTCTTGACTGTCCCTAACTCAGGTCCTAGGTCATGATTTGTCTTGCTCCTAAGAAGAAAACCCTAACTCAGAGGAAAAGTTAGCATTTAGTGATTTTCACTAGCTTAATCTAGATCAACCCTGTGGCTTTTAGGGCCCTTTAACACAAGGCCCACAATACAGGAAGTCCCGGGGTTCTACCAGAGGCATCCCAACGTCTCTGGTAAAACCAAATTAATTTGGGACAAAGAAGGAGAACCCTGCTTTGTCCTGAATTAGTTTGATACTGCATTAGACCCAGGTTTAATGCAATATGAGCCCTGTGGGGAATGATCCCTTGGTAGTCCTGGAACTACTGAGGGGCAAGTCTGCACAGCCCTCTTGGCCCTGAAAACCCCAAGGGCACCAATCCCCTCTCCCAACCCCTCCCCAAAAGACTAAAAAATACCTGGCCACCATTGAGCTGTTGCCAGAGGTCTTCTAGCATGTAGAAATGATTTGCCAGGAGAAGGGGGATAAGGAGCAATTTTCTTCCTCACCCACCTTCTCCTGGCACATCATTTCTACACACCAGGAAATCTCTGGCAGCAATTTAATGGAAGCTAAGTAAATAATTTTATTTTTAAAAGTCTTTTGGGGAGGGTGGTTTGGGTGTCTGGGTGTTCTCTTGGAAGGTGCTGGGAGGACATCTGGATGGTCCCGGGGTAAAGCACAGGATTTTAGTGCTGGTGTGCAGACTAAAGTCTGCCCCGACCCAGGTTTTTTAAACCGAGTTCAGCACAGACTTTCCACTGTGTGGAACCAGCCTCTGACTCTACAGGGCTTCCCTTACCACACACTGACCTAAGAGCTCAATGTAGATGTACTCTGAGTGTCTGGAGCAATAAAAAAGAAGTTTGACCCCTTCTAAATATTTAAACATGGCTGGCTATCATGTCTCCTCTTGACCTTTTGTTCTCCAACATACCCAGCTCCTTAAGGAAGTCCCTTTGCTTGAATCCAGTAAGACTTTTCAAGTCTTAAAATGAACAATGGTGGTGAATGCTACCAAATATTGCTTTGAAAAACTGGTTATTTTTAGATTTATTTCCGATTTGAAACTGGACCATGTGCCTGATTATGTCTAATCCTACATCTCTCACCATTCCTTCTTTGATGGCACCATGGGCTTTAAATAATTTTTATTTAAATTGATTTACTGTAATTTAAATCTTCTCAGTCTTGAATGCAATCACAGTTGTACCACTCCTGAAATTATGTGAGAGTAAAAAAAACTATTTTGAATATAGAAATTATCTATTCCACTTCCAAAAGGAACATTCCATATTTTGTTATAAATAACCAGAATGGACAAGCAACCAGATCCAGAAACACAGAGGCTGATGACAGAAAGAGCAGTAGCACAACGTAATGCAAAGTAGTAATGTCTGTGTTTAGACAGAAAACAAGAAATATACCAACAACAATGGAAATTAATAGTAAGAACTGTGGCAATAGCTCTGATGGTTTTGCAGAAAGGTGGACAGAAAAATGGAGAAAAGTCACATCTCTCATTCTCTGTGATCAAAGTAAAAAGGTGTTCTGAACATGTACCGTACATGTCAAAAAAAAAGGTAAGAGGTCCCAGGTTTATGGGGAAAGTTCTCCAGTCACTAGTATTTCTGGGTAATTGTTCTCAATAGCCTATATTTGTGGCTTTTCTTCTTACTAATGACAATCTGTTTTGTTGTGAAGAGTCTTACCTGAGGACCTGGGTCTCCACTATCACCTTTGGCACCTGAACCTCCGGGAGCACCCTATATACGACAAGAAGGAAAGCAAACTTTTAGCTCAACTGAATTCCTGTTTTAGCTGCAAAGAAATAAAAATCTGTGCATTCCTGATTGTAATCATTTGGGACACATCCACAGTAGACCAAGGTTTAATTGCTAGCAAGAGACAAAGAATTTAATTCCTAACAACTCAATGAACTTGTGATCGTATTCAATGCATTCCTGCTAACATTTGAAAACTAAAATTTGTTGTTCCAGACATATGCACTTTAAGGATGCTACCCTCCTCTCGTCTGTCCTTTGTGATCCCAATTGGGATTTAAAAATATTTCTGTCATCCATTCAAAGATTTTTGAAAGAAGTTTATTAGAAATGACACCTGGAGGCATCAATCCCCAAATGTTACCTAGGCCATCTCTCCTCCTCCCAAAAGCAATCTTACCCTGGGAACATATTTGGGGTAACTGCATTGGTCATGCAGCAAAATACAACTAAATTCAAAATTCACCAAAAGCAGTAGTTTATTGGACAACCATAATGCAGAAAACACATTTAAAATGTGCATAACATAGTTTTTGCATTTTAGTTGATCAGTAAAAATATTGCTCTTTTGTAGATTTTTTAAATTTTGTTGTATTTTATCCTGGGGAAGGTTGAGCAGGTATCAAGAAACACTGGAAACCATACAAGGTTTCTTATTTGTTGCATATGGTGCAGTGTCATTTCCAGTTCAGGTTAAATAGTTTATAATTAAGAAACATGATTCTGAGAGGGATGATTACTATCCTGTTACTCTCAAGATTTGTCTTCCTTCTGCTTCTAGAAGAAGGACTATGGAGGAGGTGATAGGAACAGCTAAGAGGGGGCCTTGAGTATCATTCTCAGTCAAGCTCTGGTCAAAAGTACCTGGCTATTACAATACTGATAATGAAGGAGTGGTGAAGACATCTGTAACACTTAAAATAACACATAAACAAGGAGTGAGTTTTGAGGAACAAAACATAGCTCTTGTATGGCCATATTATATTCATAACTTTGCTAGAAAATTATCCTTTGAACAATGTCTTACTAGAAACCTAAGCTTTTTCTTTTTGAAGCACATTACAATGAAAGAAAAACTATGCTTTTACCAAAAAAAGAGGGGGGGAGGATCATTGTTTTATGTTGATGTTCTAAACCAGAATGACTGGATTTCTACAGCCTCCTAGTGGCTTAATAGGAAAATGGCTAAGATAACACAGATGCTCTACCTTTATTTATAATAAAATAATCAATTTGTATTAAAATATGCTGAAGTGGTTTGTTCTCTTAATGTATATATAAACTCTTCTGAAATAAAAAAAAGTCTGCATCTAGCATGTCAGTATGCAAATGAACAGTGGCATGGAAGTATTAAATATATGAAATTTGAAAGGAGAACTTCAACATACTACTATTTTTGACAGACGTCCACAATTTGTAGCAATACAGCATTGGCCAGATAGGATGGTTCATCATGGGTTATCTATTATCTATCTATCATCTATCTATTCATCTATCCATCATTTCAACCAACCTCTTATTTTTGAGTAGAATTGCAAAACCAGGGGCAATGTCAAACCCTAGCAAGTTACGATACATAATTGGCAGGCTGCATTTAACTTGGCGGTCACAAAAGACATGGTCTCTTCCAAAACCACTCTTTAAGTAGAAATTCAGCTAATACCTTGCTTTGAGAAAGAAACCTAGTGAAAACTTGCACCAAGGCTTCATTCACAATGCTCCAGACTGCCCCAAAGGCAGTCACACATATTGTCCCCAATCCACTACAGTTGGACACTCCAGATGGTCCAGCTGGACCATGATCATTTTGGCCCTGCTGAACTATCACTGAAATATATGTGTTGGCATCAGCACTGCCAGATGCCCACAGAGCTCTGTGAAATCTCTTGGCTGTGATATTAGAATAGGGAAACCTCAGTGGCCATGGAGCTCTAGGGATGTCTGGCAGAGGCAACAGCAGTGACACAGGCCTGATCCATCCCACTTCCCTGATCTGATGAATACAGGAAAAAGATGATGGTAGCCCTTATAGACAGAGCACATGTCTGAATCAGATCTGATTCTGCTGTCTATACCACATTGAAGCAGCATGGCTGCTCAAGAATTTGATGCACATTCACGGCAATAAACCAGATTAACTTATCCCACAACAAACACTGGATGTTTCAGAACTGCATGGAGACAACCAGACTACATCATGAGTATGAATTATTAAACTGTGCAGTTGAGCCTCAGATCACACCAAGGTAAAATAAAGCTAGGAGTAAGAAAGATACTGCTTGAACACTTTCTTACTGGAGACACTTTCAGTGACTGAAAAAAAGAGTAACTGAATAGAAAGAGACACCTTGAAGGTACATAACAAAAACAATTGAAGGCAGCACACAAATAAATATTTTAAATGACTATATTCAGGCATCATCTTGTATCAGTACCTCTCAGGAATCTCTCCACTAGGCCATTTCAACTTCGGAGAGTTCCTTCTACCTTGACTCATTCCCATGAAATGGACAGAAAAATCTATGTCAAAAACATCTGCTTAGCATGATCAATTTCCTTTCTGTGAATTGTCAGAAGAATCATTTCAGAGGCAAAATACTGGCCAAACCATTTTGGCAAAAGGAAATGCTCCACATTGTGTTAGAAACTAAATATATCTTTTGAGTCTGGGTGCCACTCAGTTGTACTTAACCATGGCATCTTAAGTTTTTTTTTTAAAAAAAACGTAATTACTGAGGTCCCTCAAGAGACTACTGGGTTTATGCAAACCTGCAATCTTGGTTGAACTAACTATCATTTTATATTGCTGTAAATACACTTGTATAGCTTCTAAAGAGACTGTAACTGCTTAACTGCAGCATTTAAGTGATTCATTTGATTATCTCTGTCAGCAGAGTATCCGTTTCAGAAAAGAGGAAGTCATCATTAGGAGAAAATTGCTCAGGTGATTTAGCAACTGCAACACTACTTCTGGTTTTGTCATTTAAAATATTCAAAATGTATTTAAATGTCAAATTTCTATCCAGAAAGCATATAGTTTGGAAGTCTGCAATTTTGTTTCAAGTATTATCTAAACTAGGTATTTGACTGGACCAGTTGGTTTGTGTTTTAGCTCTACATTGTTTTAACCCTCCATATTTTTGAATGAATAGAAAAAAGATGAAAAGGAGCCACAGATTACCTGGAAGCTCCTTTTTTGTTAAAAAAAGGTATTATATTGTTTGTGGAGACAAAGGAGTTGAGGAAGAATAGACTAGGGGAGGTATTCTAGCCATTTCTAATAACCAAAGAGAATGTATCAAGAAATGTACTTGTACACTGAACATTTGTATTTAAACCTATGGAGTTGCAGAAGCTGCAGAAGGCATTTTATTTCCTGTGATAGAAATAAGAAAGGTCCTCAATTACTGGAACCAACTGGTTTAGCAGTTCACTCTTAAGACAGCAATGATGAAAAACAATAATCATTTTAAATCATTGCTGACTTTATAATATCTAAGGTTTTGTTTTGTGTTTTGCAATTTGACTGACCCACACAGCTGTCTTCCAGTGCCTCTTCACATACCCCACTTCCTTGCACACCCTCCCACTAGGCCAGTGGTTCTCAACCTGTGGATCCCCAAATGCTTTGGCCTTCAACTCCCAGAAATCCTAACAGCTGGTAAACTGGCTGGGATTTATGGGTGTTTTAGGCCAAAAATCTGGGGACCCACAGGTTGAGAACCACTGCTTAGCAAGTCCCAGCAAAAACAAACTGCTTCAACCTCTTTTAGCTGGGTAATCTTTTGAATTAAACTCCTGCTATTCTGACAACACTCTGAGGATGCTTGATCACACATGTCCTAGTTTCCACCTGTAAAATGTTGGGCGGCACTAATCTGCTTCACATCTTAACTACATCATTCTTCCTGGTAGTGAGCCCTGAGAAATTCTAAATTGTTTTTGTAAAATGACTAGCCAATAACATTGTGAGTGAAGTAAGACACCAGAATGATGATGCTTTGCTTCTTAATTTAACATACCACAGGACCTGATCTTCCAGTGAGCCCCATAGGGCCAGGGGGCCCCCTCATGGCAATCTGAAAAGTGGAAAGAAAATAAAAATTCTAGAGTTAAATGCTTCATGACTGGCAGCATTTGCCAAATTCACCTATGTGGTTTCAAAAACCGTTTGTTATATGTAGTAAAGCAATGGTAATTGATACACTATATTTGTGGTATGATACAGGTTATATACCATAATAATAATAATAATAATAATAATAATAATAATAATAATAATAATAAGTAGTAGTAGTAGTAGTATTACTTCTTGTTATCATTATCTCTACCTATCTGCTGCCTTTCCTCCAAGTTTAGGACTCAACATGGCTGACAAATTAATATGATTACAATACAGTCGAAGACAAATAAAAATTCAACTTTAAAGCAGAATCAAACTGCTAAATTGAAACAAATTAAAATATATACTAAAGGGAGGGGTAAACAAAGAAAATAACACAATGTAAAAGTATACAGCATCCTTATACATGCCTTTTTCTTAAAATCTATGAATTCAAAAAGGCTGTCTGAACAATAATAACAATAACAATAACAGTCTTTGCCTGACAATGGAAGAATTGTAAGGAAGGGGCCATCTCTAAGGAAGGAATTCAAATGAGAAGGCCCTATCTTGTTTTTCCACTAACACTGAGAAGACCCTATCTTGTTTTTTCACTAACTTTATTTGTGAAACTTTTTTTCCTTATAGGGCTCCATCTACACTGCCATATAATGAAGATGGGGCCAGCGTCTCAAAGTCTAAAAGTCTCCGAGTTTAACAAAGGAGTTGGCACTACCAGAAAATTCAGGAATTTGAGCACGTTTTAGGTAAAATCTTAACTCAGAAAATCCTTGCCATTAATGGGGGAAAACCCTTCCCCATCTCTACCTTAAGAGCATTTCCTCTTACCCTGGCTTGCTGAAGAATTGCTTGAGCTTGGGCTTCTTGAGCTGAGATCGCTGGGCCTTTTTCACCACCTCCACCATAGCGAAACTGTGTAAAATGATAAGATTTTTGAAAATATAAAGTCAATTTCAAACATGTTGATAATAGCCTCTTCCCCAAGATGATGAATATATTGTATTGTCAAAGGCTTTCATCGCCGGAATTACCGAGTTGTATTTTTTTCGGGCTATATGGCCGTGTTCTAGAATCATTATCTCCTGATGTTTTGCCTGCATCCTCCCTATGGATGGCATTCTCAGAGGCTGTGGGCCCAGAGAATGCCTGCCATAGATGCAGGCAAAACATCAGGAGAGAATGCTTCTAGAACATGGCTATAGCCTGAGAAACCTACAACAACCCAGATTAAGACATTAAATTCTTTGGCCTAAAACATTTCTTTCACTGTATTGAAAACTTGTATATGCCTATTTTTTCATTTTCTGCATATACATCTTATATACCTAGCCAGAAGACAACTGTATACATTTTTTAAAAAATATGTTGTGCACATATAGTTTGAACATTCAGAAAATGTGAATATGTCACCATGCCATCCACCAAAGTGGAAAATTTTGAATGTCAGAGTATTTCAAACTTCTAAATTTCTGATATCTCCACCACTAATCCCTTGTTTTCAAACTTTTTAGCTATGGTGAACAATAGATTAGATGTCCTTTTAAGTTTATGGCTGAAATAGAAAGCTGGATAAATATTTGTAATAATATTTATCTATTGGTTTAAATAAGTGATGTAAATATTTGATTTTTTTAATTTCATGTCAGGTTACATTTTTATTGCTTTTCCACATTTTAGGATTTTTTTTTGTAAATACATACATATATCTCTATGTTTTTCTTTTGTAAAACATTTCAAATTTCATGATACTTTGTAATATATTCAGTGGGGGAATCTTATATGAAATGCCCTTCCTCATTGTAGATGAAAAGACATTCTTAATGGTCTTTGCATCACTAGTCTTCAACTAGATCAGCTATTAGGAAAAACATGACAAAGTCATCATTTTGCATTGATATCCCCATGTATATTGAGAAGGGATAATTCTACAGAGTAAAATGGACTTACCGGCAACATTAACATAGTACCTGGAGGACCAGCCAAACCGTCAGCACCTGGAAGTCCAGGACGTCCTGGTGGACCCTAGAAGATATGGAGGGGATACATAAATTTGTATAATTCATGTATGTTTATTTGGAACAATATGCAGTATCTGTTCACTAAAATGGAAAATGCGGCTGTGCATTGTGTATTCATTTCTTTATTCAATTTGGAAGGATCTAGAAAACACAATGATATGAATATTATTTTCCCCTCTGGAATGCAATATTTGTTTAGGCCAATTATCTATTTGTGAAAATACCATAATGGATGTTTCCTTCAACAAAATCTACATACACAAATCTACATGGACACAGCTATACCTTTCTGTGCAAAATGGCTAGTTTTGCACAGAAATGTGAAGCCTGGAGAAATCCTAAAATACTTTTAGGGGTGTAAGAGAAGAGTTGTTTTCCTGTTTTGTTTTGTTTTATTTTGTTTTTGAAGCAAATATTGGAAAAACTGAGGGTGGTGGAGTATTTTCTTTTCAAATAAGAAAATGTGTTTATTATCCCATTGTATTCTTCCAAACTATATAGAAGATAAATGTTTATGTAAGATGATGTACAATCTCACGTGAGTGTAATTGTCTGTAAATACTTTTACAGTTCTTGGGTAATTTATATTTTCTTGATGGCACAGTGGACTAAAGGATACTTTTTTGTTTACTAGCATCAATGTTTTCTTCTATTTTTATTGTTTTTGGTGTGTTTGGATTTTTTGTCTTTTCCTCACAAATTGGAAAAATATGAGGGGAATCTATTTTTTTCCTGAAAATTGCCAGGTTTCTTTTTAAAATAAAAAGAAACACAAATGAGATGCAGAATTGCATAGCCTCAAAAATTCTATGAATGTTACATATTGAGTTTTATAGACACCAGTGTCTTGACTTCCCTGAACTGTCTTTTTTTCTTGGATGTTAAACAATTTCAACAATTTCCTTGAAAGCAAAAATGACATTTCAGGAGACAATCATATTTCCAAATAAGTCAGAAAGTCTTCCTGAATCATTTCATCAACAATCTTTCCAATTTAGAAGGAAGCTTCTGTTTCTAGTATTTGACAGTTTTGGCAGCTGACATAGTACTAACCAGGCCTTCCAAAAAGACAAAAAATAGTAATTCTTACAAAATGGGTTGCAAAATAAAATTGGTTCAGTTTAGCAATCGCTATGCCATGCAGTGCCATGATTATAAATGAAATCTTTCCATTTTCAATTTCCAAGGCAAAAATAGAGTATCATTACTACAGGGTGTCCCAAAAATGTATACACGTTTGTTTATTTATTTATTTCATGTTAAAAGCACTGCATAAATAAGTAATGATAAAATATAGGGAGCACAAGCGGCTAAATAATTTTTGACCAAAAATGAGCAACAGCAACCGTATTGTCTTTCAGGATGTCTTTTGATCTGCCTACTCCATTTCTGAGTCTGTTCAGGGACTTCCAAGTTGTTGATTCTTGATTTACTCGTGGAGGCAAACCTTCATGGGTGGCATCTATTTAGAATTTTCTGGTTTAGCTACCCAAAGGGGTATTCTTGCTATTACTGGGGGAAGATTAAGAAGAGTGGTGGTTCTCATGAAGATTTTCCTTGATTTGAGTATACTGSGAGAAGGCTGATAGCCATGCAGTTAATGGCTTTCAGAGTTCAACCTTATTTCTCTTACAGTTAGCAGCAACTTCCTGTCACACATCGGGGGGGGGGGAGGGAGATGCCAGCTACCTTGTAAAATTTATCAACAGGTGTAGGTTTGAGACATCCTGTGATTATTCTGCATGTTTTGTTCAGTGCTATATTCACCTAGTTCGCAGGGACAGACTTGTGCCAAACAGYGAAGGCATACTCAGCAGTTGAGTAAGTCAAGACCAGGACTGATGTTCTTATTCATTTTGAYTCTGCATTCCACATACTGCCAGTAAGTTTCTACAGGATGTTATTGTGCACAGGTACTTTGTGCTTGTTGTTCATACAGTATTTCCTAAATGTTAGTGCACAATCTAAGGTGACACCGAGATATACACACGTTAAAAGCTGATAGCTATTTTTTTCCTGCAGGTTAAACCCATTGGAATTCTTAATGGAAGTAATCACTCCACACAATCTTTGTAAGAAAGTGTGCCATTCCGACCAGTTCCATCAGATTCAAACTTATCTCTAAACAGACTAATGGATTGTCGCATTGGTGGATCTCTTTGAAACTTCCTCCTAAACTGTTTTTGTACTTCAACTACATTTTCACATTTCTAGTAACATTTTAAAATGAATGTCCTTTATTCAAAGCTTAGTCTGACTTCCATTATGAATTCCAATAGATTTAACCTGAAAAAATAAATAAATTGAGCTATCAGCTTTTAAAGTGTGTATACATTTTTGGAACACCTTGTATAAAAGAAAGAGGTGTCAGATTTAGGTGAATCACTAATGTTTGGAATATTTGTTCACGTGAATAAAAATATCTGCTGCACCCATGTGATCATGCTTGAAAAGTGATGCTAGTAAATACACTAAAGACTTGTTAATTCCGCCTTGGAGCCATTCTTTGCTGAAAATGTTCAGATTCATGTCAAAATGAGTTTGATAATGTGAACTGTCAAATATAATTGTTTTAGAAATGTGTCTTTGCAAATAAAATACAGCTGGAAATGTGTGTTCTTGGGGAAAATGCACTGCAAAATGTTCATTTAAGTATGTACTTCAATGTAAATTTATTTTTTAAAACCAGTAGATTAATGTGGAAATGCATTTGTGTAATCTGGGCCACAAAGAGCTCAGGGTCAGAAACCTGTGGTGGGGCAGTGCAACCAATTATCTGTCCCAGGCTCCATCGGCTTCAAAATGAACAATAAAAATTCAGCATACCAAACTAAAAGTTCATTTGTGGCTTTAAAAAATTAGTAAGTTTTTTTTAAAAAGAAAACATTCAGTGTAACAACAGTGCAGTGCAGTTGGGGCCCCAGAAAGGAGGGATTCAGAAATTTTCTTCACAAACTTATTGTTCACTTATTAATGTAAGAGCACCATTTTTGATGTGCATCTCTGTGTGTGTACCAGTTGTGATGTTCGTCATGCTATGCAGTTTCAGCAACAATGCCCAATTAAGCAGCAGCAACCATGAAATATATTCTCTGTGCCTCCAGATACAAATATTTCAGTGAACTGTCATTTGTAATGCCAAGAGAAATTCATTTTTACATCAGTCACAGTACGGTATCTTAACAGCATGAATACATGTAGATCGCTTTAATTACTATATTAATTGCAAAAAAAGGCCTCATGACAGGACACGTAAGCCTTAATTCACAGCGCTATTAGACAAATGAATATACAGATGGATTCTGAATTATACATTTGGCCAGATACCTATTCGTTTTCAAACACTTAATAGCATTGAGTGCTAAGGTACTAAAGGCTTAATGTTAGATTTATCCCCTTCTCCAAGGATGAAGTAGCTTTGGGAGTAGCTATTCTGGTAATGAAAGATGTTGTTAAGCAGTCTGCTTTCCTCTCACCTTCACTTGCATGTTATGTGCCCAAGTGCACACAGTAGGCTTCCATGGTCAAGCAAGGATTTGAACTCTGGTTCCAGAGTCATAGTCTAATGCTTACTAAACCATGGTGGTTCTCATCTTATAGAGAGAGAATCATTTTATTATGCAAATCTATATGTAACTATTTGTCTTAATGGCCCAACAACACTCACATGTTCAGGGATATTTCCCAAAAAGATTTTCACTTTTTATTCCCTATTGGAAATGTTTGATTTCTTTGTTTGTTATTTTAAATATATATACCATTCTTCTAGCTGAGCTTCCAAGAAACTTCTAAGCAGACATGACTGAAGGCAGAATATGGGCTGGGCTACATACAGTATATCTCAAAGTTGTTTTGTAGTGCTCCTGGACAACTGAAAAGCAGATGAAGGGATAGGGATCCATGCTAGACAGATTTACATTTCCCCTGAAGACACAGGTTGGCAGTTTGAAAGATACTCCTGGACTCAGCATTTAAACTGGTGGCCCAGGTTTCAACGTGGCCAGGAATACCTTTACACATTTAAAACTTGTGTGTCGATTGTACCAAATGCTGGATCCACGCATAGTGGTATATGCTTTCATTACATCCCATTTGGAATACTGTAATATACTCTTACTTGGGGCTGCTATTGAAGAGTGTTTGGGAACTCTAATTTGTTTTAAAAGATGTGACCAGATTCTCAACCTGGGCTGTCTACAAGGAGCACACAAATGCCTGTTGCAACAGTTCCAGTGGCTTCTAATCAGTTTCCAGACAAATTCAGAGTGCTGGTTATGATCTGAAAAGCCCTACATGGCTCAGGTCCAAGCTATTTGGTGGATCATATCTCCTGGCAAAAACCCTCTCAAGGAGGAAGATCCTCAAAGAGGCCCTTTTCTTGGCCCCACTACCATAGCAGGCTTGCTTGCTGGGAACGCAAGAAAGCAGGGTTGTGCACAGAATTCATTTCTCCCATTTATTTCATTTCTTCAGGACCATAAAACAGGAAGCCCCCTCCCTGTATGAAAATCAACAACACAAAAGCAAGCTGGAGCCAATCTTGGCTACAAACCTTTCGTCTGCAGCCAAGTGCCTCCCAGAAGAACTTGCCTCCTTGCCGAGTGTGTGTGTGGCGTGCAGACCCAGAGAGCGTGCACATCTACCAGTACCTGCAGTCGACCACCTCTTACTCTGAAGTAATAGGCATTTGGCTGCAGGCACTAAAAGGAGCATGTGCTTTCTGGGCTTGCATGCCACACACACTCTTTCTTTCCAATGAGAGTGTGCGTGAGGGCATGGCGTGCTGACCCAGAAAGTGTGCGTGCCTACCAGTGCCTGTAGCCAAGCGCTTTCTCTAGAGTAGAAACAGCAGATAAGAAGCCTCCATAAGGCACGTGCCAGGAAGGGGAGCCTGGGTGGGAAGCCCTCCCCCCATAATGGTCCAATAGAAAACTGATATTTTGGAGCCCCAAACTGAAAACATAAATCTGTCCTCCCAATTTCAGAAGACTCCCAGAAAATAGATTGGGGGCCCCACGAAAAGCTGGGACAAAACTGGGCAAGGTTTACTCTGAATGAACCAACCTACAAGAGAGGGCCTTCCCAGTAACTTCCCCTGGGCTTGTTACACTCTGTCTAGAGATGCCAGAATGCCCCCTCCCTGTTGTCCTTCCAGCAACAGGCTAAAACCTAAATTCAGGTAGGCTATTAGTAAATAATAAAGTTGTTGAAAGGAAGCCGGAAGGGTACTGTATAATATTTTAGCTGTTTTAAGTGTTTTAAATTATTTTAATCCATTTATATGTTTAACTGTATTTTAAAATTTACATGAATTTCATTTTTAAAAAAAATTGTGAGCCATTTTACATTTCAATCACAGAGATAAAAGCAGAACACAAATATAATAATAATAATAATAATAATAATAATAATAATAATAATAATAACAGATTTCAAGATGGTAATGTACCACTCCTATTGCCCAAAGCATTTGAGACTGTAATTTGCATTTAAAATAGGTTGCAACCACTTACTTAGCAAGTATCTTAACATCCATAAATACTGATTTTTCAAAACTAGAAATAGACTTTTGTACATTATCTGGATTTTATTTTATTTTGCTTTGTTGTTGTCTTTTGAGTGTTATGACTATGACCACTTCAGGAAAAATGATTGACACATGGATGCTTACTAAGATTAAAGAAGATGGTATTAAATCAGTGGTAAAATAACTTTGTCCCCTGTGATCAACTGTGTCCCATAAGATCAGGCTAAATTTTATTCAGCCACTGAGCTCCCTTCCATATTCTCAAAGCCCCCAGGCCCCACTGTGATATTCAGAGAGAATCTTGAGGGATTGTTTTTCACCTTCAAATAATTTTCAATGCTCCATAACAGGGGTACATGCAGTTTTGTATCCATTCCAAGAAAACTCACAACCTCCAATGATGAAAAATCCAAAAACCCATCTGAAAATAACTGATGAGACCAGACATGAGGGTGTGAGTCAGGGGGTTCAGAAAGTGAAAATTATCCTCTTCCTCCTACCAAAACCATATCTTATCAGAGAGGTAGAGGAAACAAGTATATTTTTAGAATCAGACCATAATGACATTCAACATGGAAGGCATGGCACATGGAACACTAGGAGTATCTGCTTATTTCTATCAAGATAGTGGTTCGCCTGTGGTCATCAGCCAGTGAACAAGAAACATTCTGCAGTGCAACCTCATTTATTCCTCTTCTAGAGGAGATATGAAAAATGTCCCTTCAAATGTAATCTTAAACAGAAAGAGCAAGGCAGTTGTGTTTCTGGTTCACCCACATTTGTTCATATTGAAAGCAATTTAAAATTAACTGTAATTGGTTTAGCAATAAGCAGATATTATTTGCTCCTATTTATGAAAAAATCAGTTTTGGAATAGTGTGGCCACTGAATCTTAAGTCTCTAACCTGTTTTCCATTATGGTTATCTTGGAGAAGTGCACAATGTGCACACAAGAACACCAAGGAATGTTCTTGAATCTGAGGTTCTCAATATATAGATAAATGCTCTCTGTCTCTCCCATCTTCCTGGGTAAATTTATTAGATTATTCAGAAACAAAAGGAATGACAGAAGAAGCTCCAATTGTAATCTGAAGGTTTCAGTATGTTCTTTACTTTTAATGCCCTGTCTGCATTGGAGACAAATAAACTTAATCTTGTAGCCCAGTGGTTCTCAACCTGTCTTCAGGTGTTTTTGGCCTACAACTCCCAGAAATCCCAGCCAGTTTACTAGCTGTTAGGATTTCTGGGAGTTGATGGCCATCACACCTGGGGACTTACAGGTTGAGAATCACTGTTGTAGCCTATAGAGATGCCTTTGCTCATCTCCATTTTTTAGATCACAAGGCGAGAGTTTCAAGATCTCTAAGCCAAATGCAGTGTACCTGCAGTATATTCAAATGGTAAAACTTATACATCCATTTGAATACACTGCAGGTACACTTCTTCTCCCCTCCCAGTAATTCTGTGAGGTAGGACAGGCTGACCCAAGGTTACCCATGAGACTCATAGCTTAGTGGAAACTATAACCTAGATCTCTTTATTCATAATTCGGTGCTTCAACTATAGTCTGCACCTTATTAAGCAAAGCCAGCTATTATGCTGTGATTGCAGCTTTTTGGACATCAAGACACTTGACTTGTCAGTACATGGGATGGGATGTTTGTTTCACAAACCAGACATTATGCTTCCAGCCACCCAATGTGGCACATTTCCTTTAGTCATTTATAACCCACACAGACTTACCCTGTCACCAGGGTCACCAGTAGGACCAGTGGGACCTTGTGTACCTGGGGGACCCATAAGACCCTATGAAGAGAAATGACACAATGAATGAATTATATTGGATAACTGTCTAAAGCAGTGGTTTTCGACCTTTGGTCCAGGTATTTTGTACTTCAGCTCTCAGAAATCCCAGTCAGTTTACCAGCTGTTAGGAAATGTGGGAGCTGAAGTCCTATTTCAGAGCAGAGATGGACAAAAGGTTTTCTGTATGAAGTGACATATTTTCAATAGAAACAAAACCATAAAAGAAGCATTTTTTGCAGATCGGTTCTCACTGAAAAGCTACATTTTAAGTGGTACTTATGAGCAGGTATGCTACAATATCTGCATCAGTTATATCAAGCCATTATGCAAAAAATCAGTTTTACCATCCAAGACTTGTAACAAAAATGACATGTAAAGGATTGTGAACTTACCGGAGGTCCTGGGAGTCCTGGGGGTCCTTCAATAAGCATCCCCTATGGAGAAACATACACACAATCTATATTAGTTGCAGACATTTATGAAAGCAAAGAGCATTCCGCAATTAGCAAGACATTAATCTTTCTGCTTTCCTCATCTTTACAAATCCTTTTATTGCCAACATTTGTCACATATTTCTGCCACTATGAAGGAGACCATCTTCTTATAAAACTATTCTTCAAAATGTTCGTTCATCTTTTTACCTTGTCCTGATTTTGAAAATCTACAACTTTTTGCTGCCTTTTTGTTGCCATTGTCCCCTGGGTCTACTGTTTCCTCCTCCTTAGTGATACATTTATTTGTTTAGAGAAATCTAAGTCAGTAATAGTGGAATTACTGAGTCAATCTACTGGTGGTATCACAAAGAGAAAATAGAACAGATTAACAACAGTTCTTTCTGGACCAATTATACACAGATCCTATTCAATCAAGAATCATGTGATGAATTCAAGGTATAATTTAATTCTATTTAGTGCAATGCTTTCTAAATAGTTACTGTGAGTGTCTTTCAGTTAACTAAGCAAAGGCGCCTTACGGTATGCAATGAAGTGTTAATGAAAATCACCCCACATTCATTTCAACTCTGGTGTCAAGGCCACCAATAATCCCAGAAGATTGGAAAAACAATCCGACATAGCATATTCTCCTAAAACATCATTTCCTTAACTGGATGCCCTTCAGAGGCTTTGCCCTACAAACACTGTAGGTCCTGAATGTTGGTTTGGTATATTGATCCAAGTACTGTGCATTTAGATCTATGGATATCTAATTCCCTGCAAAACAATAACTGAATTAAAGTGATCTTAATTAACTCTGCACATTTGTTACATTTCACAGCATCTTAGTATTCATACAGTCTTAATAGCATAGGATTGGATTGCAAATCTGAATAACTTAATTAGGTTGGTAGAGGAATTAAAGGAACTTAGTAATGCTATTTTAATGGCACATCTCTGTTTCTAATGAAAATATAATCAGAGATGTGTTCCTCAACTTCCAAGATACATATCCAAAAATGTTTCACGGGGACCATTCTTTGTAATTGTAAAAAATTGTCTAGCAGAAACTAAACCAAAACTAGACATTGGTTGCTTCAGTAGTACTTTGAATGGCTTCCAAACTTCCCTAATGCTCACATTCTTGTTGGTTTAGGATTGTAATGTTTGCATTACCTTTCTCACACTGCAAGAGTGGAACTTTGCCTATGATACAATATAGGATATACAGTAGCGAAGAGAGCCAGACATTCTATAGGACACATTCGTGCAAATGTCTTTCCTTATTATTGACAGTGTGTTTCATCTTTGAGTTATGACTCAACTGCTGTTTCACTCCATGTATTATCTATGGCCAGATATCTAAAGGACATAAGCTGATGAAATGGGGGAGGAGAAATCCTAACTGGTAATGGAGGGAAGCCAAGGTTGAAAATTGAAAGGGGCATGGAAGCTCAAAAAAGCAAGGATATTATGAGCCAAGATTTGCCAGTGTTTGCATTTCTCATGCATTGTTCTCTACTATCTCCACTTTTCCAAAACTTTGAAACTTAATGTTTCAAAGATGAAGACGTAAGTGGTTGGGGAAAAACTGTAGTTGCATTTAAACTGTCATCTTTAAGTTCAGGTGCATAGCATTAGAATACAGATGCAATTGCATTGTCCAGGGTCTCCATCAGCAATGGAGATTCCTAAATGGACTTAAATGAGACCACAATGGAGCATCCCATAAGGGTTGGCTATCAAGGTCTCTGCAATTCACTGAGCTGGACCTTAGGGAAGGCTGAGCGAAGGAAGATCGATGCTTTTGAGCTGTGGTGTTGGAGGAAAGTTCTGAGAGTGCCTTGGACTTCGAGAAGATCCAACCAGTCCATCCTCCAGGAAATAAAGCCCGACTGCTCATTGGAGGAAAGATACTAGAGACAAAGTTGAAGTACTTTGGCCACATCATGAGGAGACAGGAAAGCCTAGAGAAGACAATTATGCTGGGGAAAGTGGAAGGCAAAAGGAAGAGGGGCCGACCAAGGGCAAGATGGATGGATGGCATCCTTGAAGTGACTGGATTGACCTTGAAGGAGCTGGGGGTGGTGACGGCTGACAGGGAGCTCTGGCGTGGACTGGTCCATGAGGTCACGAAGAGTCGGAGACGACTGAACAAATGAACAACAACATAATGGCTGCTGCCAGCAAGAGGAGCTGTGAAGCATAACTAAAACAAGTATAAAACTGATAGAGGGAACACAAGCGGCTAAATAATTTTAGACTAACAATGGGCAACATTGACCACATTGTCTGTCGCTTTAAACAATTCTTCCTCTCAACCTCAAAGAATGCTTGCCATAGATGCAGGCGAAACGTCAGGAGAGAATGCCTCTAGAATATGGCAATATAGCCCGAAAAAACCTACAACAACCCAATTCTTCCTCTGTGCACGAGGCAGAGCATTGTAGGCAAGTGTATAGATACGGAGTTGTTTGTTCTGCTCCACAGTCACACAAGGTGGAGGATTTTTCTAGATAGTGTCATTTAGCCAGGTTGTCTTTTGATCTGCCCACTCCACTTCTGAGTCTGTTCAGGGACTTCCAAATTGTCCATTCTTGGCTTGCCCCTGGAGGCAGAACCCTTGTGGGAGGCCATCCATTTGGGATTTGCTGGTTTAGCTGCCCTGAGAGATGCTCTTGCTGTTGCTGGGAGAACATTAAGAGGAGTGGTGGTTCTCATGAAGCTTTTCCTTGATGTGAGTCTACTGGGAGAAGGCTGATAGTCATGCAGTTGATGGCTTTCACAATTACTTCTCTTATTTCTTATTTCTCTCACACTTAGCAGCAACTCCCCATCACACATTGGGGGTGGGGGCAATGCCAACTATGTTATAGAGTCTATCAACAGGTGTAGGGTTGAGACATCCTGTGATTATTCTGCATGTTTCATTCAGTGCTATATTCACCTGCTTTGTGTGGGCAGACTTGTGCCAAACATGACAGGCATACTCAGTAGTTGAGTAAGACAAGACTACAAAGGCTCTCATTTTTAGACTAGCCATTCCCCAACCAAAGAGGGAGACTAGGGGATTAAGCTAGTGAGGACTAGCTTACTCCTTGTTTGCACATTCAAATTAGTCCTTTCTTATCTACTTCAAAAGGTTGTAGCTTTCAGCATCCCTGCTAAATTTCTTATTTTTTTGGTTACAGAGTTATATCAATATCCCAGTAAGGTCCGTAGATGTTTTTAATATCTTTCTTTCTTTCTTTCTTTCTTTCTTTCTTTCCTCCCTCCCCCTCCCTCCCCCTCCCCCTCCCCCCCCCTCTCTATATATATTCTCACATATTTATTTTTTATTTATTTATCATGTCAGGAGCAACCAGACAGTTGTATTACATTTTTAACAAAACAAACAAACAAACAGACAAAACACAAAGTTTGCAAGCTTGGTAGTTGATTAAATGTCCTTTGACCAGTAGCTGGCCACTTGGAGTGCCTCTGGTGTTGCCGCAAGAAGGTCCTCCTATGTGCATGTGGCAGGGCTCAGGTTGCATTGCAGCAGGTGGTCAGTGGTTTGCTCTTCTCCACACTCGCATGTCATAGATTCCACTTTGTAGCCCCATTTCTTAAGATTGGCTCTGCAGCTTGTGGTGCCAGAACGCAGTCTGTTCAGTGCCTTCCAAGTCGCCCAGTGCCCAGGGGGGAGTCTCTCATTTGGTATCAACCATTGATTGAGGTTCTGGGTTTGAGCCTGCCAGTTTTGGACTCTCGCTTGCTGGGATGTTCCAACGAGTGTCTCTGTAGATCTTAGAAAACTATTTCTTGATTTAAGTCATTGACGTGCTGGCTGATACCCAAACAAGGGATGAGCTGGAGACGTCACTGCCTTGGTCCTTTCACTATTGGCTACTACTTCCCGGCAGATGTCAGGTGGTGCAATACCAGCTAGACAGTGTAATTTCTCCAATGGTGTAGGCTGGAGACACCCCGTGATAATGCGGCATGTCTCATTATGAGCCACATCCACTATTTTAGCATGGTGAGATGTGTTCCACACTGGGCATGCATACTCAGCAGCAGAGTAGCATAGCGCAAGGCCAGATGTCTGTGTCTGGTTGTGATCCCCAGGTTGTGCCAGTCAGCTTTCGTATGATATTGTTTCTAGCACCCACTTTTTGCTTGATATTCAGGCAGTGCTTTTTGTAGGTCAGGGCACAGTCCAGAGTGACTCCCGGGTATTTGGGTGCACTGCAATGCTCCAGTGGGATTTCTTCCCAGGTGATCCTCAGAGCTCGGGATGCTCGTCTGTTCTTAAGGCGAAAAACACAAGTTTGTGTTTTAGATGGATTAGGGATCAGCTCGTTTTCCCTGTAGTAGGCGGTAAGGGCACCTAGAGCTTCGGAGAGCTTCTGTTCTACCATCTCAAAGCTCCCTGCTTGAGCAGTAATGGCACGATCATCAGCATAGATGAAGCTCTCTGTCCTTTCTGGCAGTGGCTGGTCATTTGTGTAAATGTTGAACATGGATGGAGCAAGCATGCTCCCCTGAGGCAAGACGTTCTTCTGTTTCTGCCATCTGCTTCTCTGGCCCTGGAACTCAACAAAGAAGCTCCTGTTTTGTAGCAGGTTTCCTATGAGGCGGGTGAGGTGGTAGTCCTTTGTGATATTATATATTTTTCTCAGGAGGAGGCAGTGGTTTACAGTATCATAAACCGCTGACAGGTCAAAATGGCTCCTGTGATCTGCTGCCTTTCAAAGCCATCTTCTATGTGCTGAGTCAGGTTCAGCACTTGCAATATGCAGCTTTTGCCTTTCCTGAAGCCAGCTTGCTGTGGAATCAGATATGGGTCTATTTTTTCCATAATTCTATGCAAAATAAGTCTCTCCGGGACTGTGTAGAGGTGGCACAACAGGGAGATTGGTCTATATCTTTTTGGATCATTACGGTCTTTGCCTGGCTTCAAGATGGCTATGACTCTTTCTTTCCTCCAGATTTTGGGGATCTGCCAGGATGCATCATGCAGTCTCACATAATGCATGTGTACTGACCCACACAAGAGGCCAGGGTAAATTTTGATGTAAATGCATCTAATTTATTTTTATTACTTAAAGGTCTTGTTCTGCAGATTGAACATGGAGTTTCAGAGGTGCTTAAAGAAATTAAAAGTGTATACAGGCAATTCAACTTATATTTTACCTGCTCTTATGTTACTCTATTTATTGTAGAGTAAGTCAAAGTAGAATAAAAAGGCAATACACAATTTAGCAATACTGTTAAATGAAAATATCTACCATCTATGTACATTTATGTTGGTACATAGGGGATTTCCTTCCAAGTATATATACTCTGTGGATCTGCAAGTCCATACATAGCTACCTAGGAATAGGTCTCAGTTAATTCAAGGCTACTCCTTTTGAAGATGGATTTAGAATGCTTTATATTACATGACACTATTTAGTTCAGTGACATCTAAACAAATTGGCAGTGGTTCTCCTCAGTTACTGACAGGAATCTTTCCTTGTGGTATTTAGAGATACTGAGAAGTAACCAAAGACCTTCAACATGCAAAAGATGTGTTCCAAAACTGGGCCACAGTGATGTACTGGAGAATGCTCTGAATCAAAACGAGTAGAGCTAATAGGCTATAGACGATCCCCATACCCCCTAGAACCTCCACATTCACAAGTTGAAGACTTTTTTTGCTCTTTCATTTATCAAGAGCATTTTGTAAGAATTAGCCTCCCAAATACTCACAGGTTCAATCACAGCAGCTTCTCCCTTCTGTCCCTTTTCCCCATAAGCACCATGGCCATTCACCTGTTGGGTCAATATACAGAGAGACAAACATATTAGAATTGAAGTCTAAAAACCACAGAACTACAACGATAAAAATGATTCCAAAGATCAACTAGTCTGGTGATTCTCAACTCTAGTTTTCCAGATATTTTGGACTAACTCTTTGAACCTCAGCTGTCTTGGCCAAGGATTAGTGATTCCAGGAGCTAAAGTCCCAAACACCTGGAAGACCAGAACTTGGGAAACACTGAACTTGTCTAATCCATTGCCAGTGCTGGAATCCATATCTACCTTATAGACCTAATTACTAACAAGTATAGGGATATCTGAAGATTCCCAAATTTCATTGATCTCTAATTAGAGGAAGACATGTATGAAAACTTTTTGTTAGCACCTCAACATGAAGCTAAATAGCTGGATCATTCTTACGATAAAGATAATAAAAGACCATGGGATGGAAAGATCATCATTTTTTTTTTAAAAAAAAATCAAAGTCAGAGAAATTGTAGTGGACAATGTTGTCCAGAGCCAGGACTTGAAGTAGCTAACTCTTTAAAAATCTGAATTAAGATTGCATCTGTTTTTCTAATAGATTCTTCAGCTTTAACACATATATGTCTAACAATTTAAAATTACTTTCTCCATAATAGAAATGCATACTAAATGATTGGGGTTGGTGCAGATGAGAAGAAACTGCATTTCAGTTCTTTTTTTAAAAAAAACCCTTTTCTCTACAACAGTTATGCATATATAGATGGCAAAAGGTGATATTTTTTAAATAATTAAACATGGGAAATAATTAAACTGAAAAGTTTTTAAAATGACTTTTGACTATAGTTCTCCTCTGATTTTAAATTTACCAAATGAAGTTCGAAATGTCACCATATATCTCCAAGTGGAAACAGGTAATGACTTCTAAAATCAAAAATTCTATGAAGGAACTCTGACTTCCCATGGTCATTTCTTTTGTCGCCTATGTGCAAACAGCTTCTGTGTATTTTGAAAAACAAATGTAGAACTTTGAACAAACTATTCCCTAGAATTCAGTGTACCTGTCACAAGCAGCATACTTTTATATTGTACAAAATGAGAGAGAATAATTTTAATAGCACCGATGTTTTAAGGCAATTAATAAAAACGTTAGTTGCCATTTAACTTTGGATGCCAATATGAGTGTAGTATGGCATACACTCCCTAAATGGGGAACTTACTCATCAGCATTAGGAAAGCCAAATAAATAAATAAATATGAAGGATTACAAAGTTCTTCTCTAGAGGCCCATCCAGCCAAGACCAAAAACAGGGACCTGTCTTGGTTTTTACCAGAAGTAAAAATGAATTAATTTGAAATAATTAGATGCCCCATTAGATCAAGGCCTTGCATAAAGGCCCGGGTTTAATGAGGTATTGGACCAGAGGGGACACAGTCATCTTGCTTCTTCGGGCTTCCAAAAGCCCAGGGGAATGGAATGGGATGGTGGCTCCCCTCCTCTCCCAGCCTTCCCCCAAAATTTACCCCACAGTCTTGCCTGGCATGGAGGGCCTCTCTGGAGAGCTGTGCAGTTACTTCAGAGTGATGCTAGAGGAGAGGGGGATTCCCCCTCCTCCTCCAACATCACTCTGAAGTAACTGCACAGCTCTCTGGAAAAGCAAACCCATTGGGTATGTTTTGGGGGAGAGAATGAGGGGCTGGAGGGTGGCTGGATGCATATGGCCACCTCAGCAGGTAAGTTTTGGGGTTGTGGGAGGAGATGAGGAATACAATGTGGGCAAAAACAGGTTAGTTTAACCCATTTTCACCTGCATTTTAGTCATGTCTGGAAATGCCCAAAGTGTGTGTGCCACTGAGCAGCTCTGGTAAGGCTTTGAGTTTGGCCCTCAATACAGATTGTGTGTCTGTTGTCCAAGGACAACCACATCTAGGAATAAAAATGCTCATGACCATAAAAACAGTGAGCAGATTGATACACAAAAAATAACTGCAATCTATATTGCTGAGAGGATAAATTATATGAATGAGATCACAGACCTTTTAGGGATTACTAGCTTCAGCTTTTCAGACACTAAAAAAATCAAAGCATTCACTCCTCTGTCTTCCTTGATACATGTAAGTGAAAAGGTTACTGTACTGAAAAGTTATTCAATGATTTTTGCAATGAGAAGTCATAAAAAGCCTTATAGGATTGAGTCCATAGACCATGACAGAAATGCAGACCAACATATAATGAACTGGTCGTAACCCCACCCCTTTAAGGAGTATTTCAGATACCCAACTTACACTTGTTTCTGTGACATCAGTCTCTGCTGGAACACCTGGCCCAAACTCCTCATGAGTGGGATTGGTTGGCTTTTCTTCATACTCTTTATATTCATAAAAGTCATATTCGCCTAAATCTCCATCTACCACAACTTCAGCTTCACTGTGGTCTACTCCTCTGTTTCCATAATCTGTTTCCTCAGTTTTTTTATTCTCAGAGTTATACTCCTCTCCCGTTATGTATTCTTCAGTAAATACTTCTTCAACAGGAATTTGCTATTCATATAATCAGCAAAGGTTTGGGGAACAGGATGAATATGTGGATTACTGTTAGTAAAGCAAAGCATTCAGAAGATTTGAAAATAATGGTTGGTGAAATAGCACAACATTATTACAGCATTGCATCTTTTAATTTATTTCTGAAAAACTGAGGCATCGATGTTTCAGAGGTATTAAAAGATCACACAATGCTTGTACATATATGTAATGAAATCAACACTTCCATAAATGTACTTTTTGCGGCATTTCTAATGGCATTCAGACTGTGACAAATGACTTGGAAAACAATTGCTCCATTGTAGTGATCTGAGATTTAATATAAAATTAGATCACTATCATATTTTATTGTCTTGAAATACATTTACTGATATATAATAATTGCAACTCTCCCATGCCAATTGTAATAGAGAGCAAAACATGAAAACATTACATTTTTCATTAATATATCCTCTTTTGTAGGACTGGATTTTTTTCCAAGTCAGATTTGATCTCTTTCATAAAAGAGGGTAGTTTGCAATGATTATTTATGTACCATTCAATACGGATAAAAATTCTAGCAGTTAAAAGGGTTAAGAACAGCCTATTTTAAAATATTAATGTGTGTGTATCTGTATAGTTAGGTGACACCAGACACCCAGGTTTTAAACATCAAAATTTATACAATGGTTTCTTTAAGATACACTCTCACATCACATTTTAGAGGGAACTAGTTTTTATTGTGACAAAATGAAAGGCAAGTTTTGGAAGGGAAGTGGCCTATTAGAAGTGTCTTTTGTGTGGACCCTTATGAACAATAAATGGAAACCATACAAAAGTAGGAAATATAAGACAACTCTTGTTTTTTAAAAACAATCATAATAATAAGTAGTTTTCAGTTTTGCATTAATTTTAATGTGATTTCCAGTAGTCTTTCACATTTTTATTATTTTTATTGCATAGTTGAAATATGTAATTACAAGAGAGTCTGCAAAATAAATATGCCTTCAGTGTAATGCAAACTCTGGAAATCACAGCTTAAGAACTCATTTCAGCATGTCAATATTTATGAAACAAAAAGCCCACATTCATAAATGTCAGTTGACTACACACATGACAATTAATAGATTTGTTAAGACACAAGAAATGTTGAGTAGTTCTCAATCTTTTTCATGAAAAGATGAATCTGAGAGTTACATACGTCTTACAGATACAATTTGATTCTGTACACTAAGGATTGAGATACAAACATCCCAATCCTGTACAATAGATGAACATCTGAAAGCAGGTTTTATGTATGGTTACCTATAGTGGATTTGGAACTATGTGCACAGATCAGGAGTGAATGGATACATACCTGGATGCTCTTCTTTATTGTGCTGTGCATCCAGATGTGACTAATGCATGCATTTCAATAATCCCCATTCATTTGATGATATGAATGAGGTGTATGCTACCATTCACATTGTAATGTAGATACATCATGGTCATTGTCTGGGACAAAGTGCACATTGCTGTACAAGACTGTATCTACATTAGTGCTCTGGGGTTTAGATTATATATTTAAAAGCAATATCAGTAGGACAGGATATGCAGGATCAACTTAAAGACATCTCTTCAAAGTTCATTGTGACTGTTCTCTGTCTTCAGTCATCAGCCAGACACTACATTATGTGCCATTAATTAAGGGATCTCTTTGAGACTTTGTTCTTCCCTCCTTAAATGTTTACTGAAAGTAAACATATCTGACATTCCCACACTGCAGGGAAACCACAAACATGTGCATTATCTCACTACATATTTGAGCTGCAAAATATATGACTGAATATCCATTAAAAAATCAATCACTTGAAGTTGCATCTCAAATATCAGATTCCAGGAATAGGATACAGAATGGTTTTAACTGCAGAAGCCTTCATGCAATGAGAGAAACTCAACTCCTTAAGACTTGGCAACAACTTGTTATTATCTTAAGATCTTTGAAATATGCTTGCCTGTATATTTTTCCATTGCTCATTACCTCATTTGGTCCCGTTGTTTGGCTAGGAGATACAGTCTGGTAGCGTTCAGAGGTTCCATAGTCAGTTTCAGCCACACTGTATTCATGATATTCATCAACAATATTGGCCTGACAGGAAAGAGAAAGCACGAATTTACCCACAAAAGGTCAAAGGAAGACATTCAGAAGGAATCTCCATTTAATTGGGTTATTCATGTATTCAACTACTAGGGGTTAGAGCTACATATTTCTCATCATCAGAGATCTTCCAGGTTTGGTCTAGGAAAGATCTTGATCGTTTTGTGGCTACTGTTACCCCTGTTTTGCCTTGTGCTGCAGCTTGATAGTTTTTCTTCTTCTTGGATGAATATGTTTCAGTTTTTTTGAGTGTGAACTTTTGGGGGTTGGTCTTTGAGTTAGCGGCCACTGTCCTCTTCTTCTTTGGGGCTTTGTTCTTTTTCTGAAAAAAGGTGGTGAAAGATGGAATGGGAAACATAAATAAGTGAAAGGGGATATGAGGAAGGCATGAAAGGAAGCAAAGTAAGAAAAGCCAAAAAAGAGAGAGTGAAAATAAAGCAATGTATTGCTGTCCATCTTCCAGCCTGCTGCTGTGGGATTAAAAAGAGTTTCACAGACAAACAGAAAAGGAGGGAAGAGAAAAAGTATGGAAAGCATGATTAACATAAGACACCACATGACAAAACAGCATGATAGATGAGAGGGACGTCAGACAACATACAGACTACATGCTGTTACCTCAGTCTGTGCTACTGTCTCTTCGTATAGTGGGGGTCCCTCTGTTACAGTGTCAAGGTCTTTATAATCTCTATAATCTGGATCCCCATAGTCATAGTCATATTCGATTAAATCTTCCGTTGCGTACTAAATTGCAAAAGGAAAAATACCAGGCATTGCTATGTTAGTAGCAGCAAACTATATTAGAAATCATGGAAAGCTCTTTCTTAACTTTTTCTCACTTTGGAAGAAAAGGTTAAGGTAATGAAAGCATTCACTCTATTAGTAACATTTCCTTATATTCTTTTTTCTTTCTTTCAAATGTATATAAACTGACAAAAGCAAGCTGATTAAGGTCAGCTTTTTATGAAAACAAGAGAAGGAAAATTGAGGTTCTTTTGTCATGGTTTGTAATCAGCAGATATTTTAATGATTAGATATTATATACTGGGTGTCCCAAAAGTTGCCATACACAGGGAAAATGGGAAATTGTAGCTAAATGTATCTTTATTTACCAAACATTCACTACAATTTTAATGAAATATTTACAAAGTATACTCTACATGAGAAGCCCCCGGTGGCGCAGTGGGTTAAAACACTGAGCTGCTGAGCTTGTTGACCAAAAAGTCACAGGTTTTAATCTGGGGAGCAGCATGAGCTTCTGCTGTCAGCCCCAGCTTCTGCTAACCTAGCAGTTTGAAAACATGCAAATGTGAGTAGATCAATAGGCACCGCTTTGGCGGGAAGGTAATAGTGATCCATGCAGTCATGCTGGCCACATGACCTTGGAGGTGTCTATGGTCAATGCCAGCTCTTTGGTTTAGAAATGGAGATGAGCATCACCCCCCAGAGTCTGAATCGACTGGACTTCACGTCAGGGAAAAACCTTTACCTTTACTATACTCTACATGTTGATCAGCTCTTTTTACACACATACACATGAAGTCTTCTCCCCCACTCATGGCGAACATGTTCCAAAATCTCTGTTGTTATGCAAGTCTAGATGTATCCATTGGTATTAATGGCTCAAAGATAAGGAAGATGTCACCTAAAACCTTGTTTTAAGTGTAGTCTGGTAGATTGTGCAAATATATAGAACTAAATATATAATGACATATAAAATATAATTAGTTTGTTAATTTTTCTTATGCATTGTGACTTTTGGGTCACCCAGTATAAAACACATGGATTGAAATGCTTCACCTTAGATTTCTAATGTTGTCAATTAGAAGGAAAGTTTTCTTGACTGAATCTGAAAGCAAATTGTTGTGCAAAATTTCTTTCAGTTCATCCCTCTTTCATTGTATTTTATTGATCTTCCATTTATCAAAGATCAATAAAATAATGTTAGGCATACAAAACACTAGAAAAAATCACCCAGGTATGAAATTATACAAATGCATCAACATATTTAAAATGGAATCCCAGTCAGTATGTATGCAGTAATAATATGCCAACATGGAACATAGAAGAGCTAATCTGGTGAAACCAGTGCAAAAATCAAAGGTGACTAATTTCATTTTCTTTCCTCAGATAACTTTTAAATTAGGCCCAATAAGTTAGTAAAGTTAACTGAAAGAGAAATGGAAGCAGGAGGTTCTATTTTGCATTCTTCCACATATAATAAACCCTCTGCATGCAAACATTGGCAAGTTAAGATACCAAAAGGCCACAGAAAAGGGCAAAAAGAGCAGCAGTTTTGTTCTCATCCTTCCCATCACTTTTACAAGTACAAGTACAATGTAGCTTGGATTGCAATACTGCAGTGTTGTCACTTTCCATCCTTGTCAGAACAACAGTGGTATGGAATGGAGGTCAAGGAATAAACAGCACTGTAACAGCCTCACATAAGTAAGTCATGCCAAACATCAAAGAGAAAGGAAGAAACACAACAGATGGCAGCTCCCCCCTCCCCCGCCCCCGCCCCCAGAAGCTGAATATTTAATGTAGCTTCCTGTTGGAATTTGAGGCCAAATCTCAAATTCAATTGCTCAATGGACTCAATGAGATTTGTAATAGTATCATGCTAAGATTCAGTTAGTAGTCAAGGATTTGATTTAGCAGGGACTAGTAATTATAATCTGACTCAGATTTACTTTTTGCAACAAGGTTTTTACACAGCCTAAGACTCAAATGGTTTAATCTGCATTTTCTTTTTTTGTTCTGTTGTTGTTTTTTGTTTGCAAGTAATAATCACAAATGATGTACTTGCCTGCTCATTCAAAATCATCTCATGATGTGGGGAACAGCAATCAAAGAACAGATAAATTTGTTGGCTTCACATTCTGCACATTCATATTTTAATTGCATTTTTTCATACAGTTGTGTATTTTAGGAAGCCACCCATCCCTAAATACGACTCAAGCAACCTACTGTGATCATGTTTTGTTTTTGTTTTGTTTTTTACTAATTATGGAACAAAATTTTCCAATATTTTGTGTGCTTCCAGTCGTGAATTATACTGTCATGCAGATATTTATGTAAATACCTGGCTCTAGAACACTGAACTACAAAAAAAATTGCATTTGCTTATGGGCAGCCATTTCTTTCCATGTATTACAAAGAATGATTTGCAGTGTTACGCTGTGATGAATTACTTCCCAAACTTCCACACCCAATAAAATAACCTAGACATAGTAATAAATGAAGGTGATGCAAAAAGTGTCAGTCACTGATAAGGAATTGCAAATGGTGCACAATCTGAGGACATAACACAGGTGTGTGAAATCTGTGACCAAAAGACCACAGCCTCATTTGGCATGGACTTCAAACCATTTTGGAAACTCCAGCCATTTTTGGCTCCAGCCACATAAACGTCTAATTCTGTCATGCCTATTTCTGGAATGTGAACTTCAACAGTTTCTCCTCTCTTGATAAATTCCCCACTAGTTCTCAAAGCTTGACATAAACTTGTATATAATGGAATTTCCACATTAGAGAATTCTAGGGCTCAAATCCAATGGTTACCTTCAACTAGAGTAAACTCCTTGAATAATTCAGAACTAGGTAAGTCAACATTTATGTAAGTTCCACTGTTTCAATGGATGTACTTTAGTTGTGACTAACCTTTGGATTCAGACTGCTCACTGAATTCTATGAAAGAAACCATTGTTCAAGAATGGGTGAGTTTATGTTTGATGTGAATATCGTGCAAATATTAAAGTTTTGAACTACAGTTCTCATGTACAAACCTGGGAGCTGTTATCCCAAAAACTTAATGATTCCACAGCTCCTATCTATCTATCTATCTATCTATCTATCTATCTATATCTATATCTATATCTATATCTATATCTATATCTATATCTATATCTATATCTTTCCATTTGATGCAAAAACTGTATATAAACCTTTTCATTTAAAAAAACCAAGCAAAAAGATCTAATTTCAATAAGTAATCCAGATTTAACGGGGCACATTGTTATCAAAGGAAAAATCCCTTTCCCTCTCAAACTTAATTATTAAACTTCATATTTAATAATTAGATGCAACTTGAGTAGGTTTACAGGTAGAAAATTATTATAAATATTGGCAACGTCTGCCTTGTTAAAAAAAGTACTTAATACTGGCATTCAGTCTTATTGTAAATCTTATTCAATATCAGCATGGTTTAATTAAAGATGGTGAACATCTTTTCATCCTTATGCAAACATAAACAAGCTGTAATAAAAGCCCAATTATCTAGAAAATAGTTGGTATGCGCAGAATTTATAAAGGGGGAGAATAGAATCCCATGTATTTGTTACTAAAAAAACACAAGGAAGGCGAAAAGACCCACCATTGGTCTTTCATACTAGCATTCATACTTTCATATAATTCTGAGGATATTTTTTAGGATTCAGATTCAGTAAATGCAAAATAAAACAGTCTCACTCATTCTTTCTAATCTCTTCTGCATAGAGAATTCCCTTTAAATAGAAAGCATAGAGCACTCTCATGCATGAGTGATGCACAAAAACCTTCTCCTAACCTCTATTTGTAAATATAATTATGATAATCAAAATACAATGAGGTGTAGAAACTACACTAGATGAAACCTAAATCCTGATCATTAGATTCCTCTCAGCCACTATTTTTGTCCCTTCCTGTTTCCAAGAATCATAGAAGCCACATATCTGAGTCTTTTTCAGGTGCTCAAAATGTTGTATCAAGTAGAGAAGATAAATGCATGCTTGCCATATCCCTTCATTTCCAATTTCACTCTCCTGTGCACGAATGGTGGATAACAATGAACACTCTCTATTTTAGTTGGAGTCCCACATTTTTAGGTTTCTACTTAACAGGAGAGTTTTCAAGAGTAAAAGAGGCTCTGTACATCAGATTCTTTCAAAACTGTACCTAGGAAGGTGGCAGTAAGTAGGATGACAAGTTCAGTATCCCTTATCCAAAATGCTTGGGTTCAGAAGTGTTTTGGATTTAGAGTTTTCTTGGTGTTTGGAATTTCTGTATTTGCATATACACACATAACAAGATATCTTGACTAAAGGAGCCATGTCTAAGCACAGAATTTATTTATTTATTTCTTATTTATTTCAAACCTTTATACCCCATCCTTCTCTACCCCCGAAGAGGGGACTCAGGGCGGCTTCGAAATTATATTTCATATTCATCATACACACATAGCTTGAATGTAATTTTATACAAATAGTTTCAATTATTTTGTGCAAGAAACCAAGGTTATGTACAGTGAGCCATCAGAAAGCAAAGGTATCCCTATCTCGTTCACCTAGTTGGACAACTCTGAATTTTGGCGTATTTTGGATTTCAGAATTCTGGATAAGAGATGCTTAACCCATAAAACACCTCGTGTTCTTCCTTACACATTAAGGCAACATTCTTACATCCATTCTTACATACTGTATGCTGCTAAACAGGTAGGTAAAAATGTCCTAGAAACCACAATGATTGAGAAACTGAGTTCACTTAGTTTTTGAGTTCCTTAGGTTACTTTCCTGGCAGTAGACACTACATCTTTCCTGGTTCCTGATGAGTTAATGATAACTACCGATACAAGGATCTCTTTGTATAGGAGAACCAAAGCCACTGCCAGGTAGTAGCACAGATGTCACTGGCTTGTGAGTCCTTTCTGAATTTAAATACAAACTTGGAAGAAGCTATAGAAGTTGTCAAATCTATATGGAATATCT